TTTTTTAAACTTTGTTTTATCCTTTTAAATATTTTGAAAAATATAAATAATTTTGAAGTATTCTTTCTTTTTAATTTTCTTTAGGGTAACAGTTTAAATACTATTATTTATTTTTTCTCAAAATATTTTTTTTTAGATTAAGTTCAGTAAGTTCATACAATTTAACTTTTTTTTTATTTAACTTTATTTTTTATTTTATTTTTTTTAAAGACTAAATTTAAGTAAATTAGATCTTTTTATTTTTTAGATATTGAATTTTTTAGTAATTTTAAAAAAGTTATAGTTTAATTTTTTTTAATGAAATATTTTTATTTATAATTAAAATTGCTTGTCTAAACTATAGTTTTACTAAATTTTACTAAAGTTTTGATATAGTTTTGCATTTTTACAAGCTTTGATATAGTTTTACCTTTTTCAGAATTTGCAGATTTTTTAATAAGATTTTAATATAATTTCACTAAATTTTATTTTTTTCCATTTAGCTGATTTACAAAACCTTTAAGTTTTATCTAATAACCTTACTAATACTTCTTTCTTTTTTTTGTTGTAGAAATACCATTATACTGGTCTCTTAGAGATTATTAAAACTAAACTTAAGATAATTTTTGAAAAAAATTTTTATTATTAATTTAAGAAATATTTTAATGTTTATTTTTTTTTCTTTGCTTTTTCTTATAAGTGCTAGTTAAATAAACTGAATTTTAAGATAAAGAGGATGCTATATTTTTTTTAAAAAATATATTTAACTTTTCTTTTTTATTTCTTTTTGTGAAATACTAGTTAGATAAACTAGACTTTAAAGTAAAGAGAATAGTATTAGTTTTACTTTATTAAAAAGTATATTTAATATTTTTTTTTTATTTATCTTTTATAGAAATGCTAGCTAAATAAACTAGTCTAAAATAAAGAGGGTATAGTGTTATTTTTTATTTTTTTACCTTTTTTACTTCTTTTTTTTTTTTATAAAATATTAGCTAGACAAGATAAATAAAGAAAAATATAATAGATTACAGATTAAATATTTACTAATATTTATTTATTTTCTTTTATAGATTTCAGAAGTTTATAAGTATTTTTTTGAATGTATTTTATCTTTATTTTATTTGTTTTATTTAAATAAAACGTTGATTAAAGTTTTTGTTTTTCTTGTTTTGTAGGTATTCTTTTGAATTGTTCTTAATATAGAATTTTAAACAAGTTTCTTAATTTTAAAATATAATGAGTTTTTAGGTAAGTTTCTATTAATTTTTCTTTACTTTTTTACTAATTATTTATTAATATTTTTTTTGTAGGTTTCTGATACTAATATTAGTTTATAAAGAATTTGTTATTTAATACTTTTTAACATTGAGTAATACATGTATTATTTAATGCATTAAATGCTTTTATAATATTATAGTTAATCAAAAATTATAATTATTATATTACTATTATTAGATTTAATATATTTAATTAATGATAATATTCATTAAATTTTAACATTTTATTATACTTTTATTTTTTTTTATATAACATTTATAATTATTACTTTCAATAAATCTTATTTTATCTCTTATTTCTAATTATGTATTTTGAGATAGTATCTAAATATTATTATTTTTTTTAATAATATTATGAAGTATTAATGTTATATCAAAAAATTTTGTAGCAAGTTTAATATTTTTAGTTCTTATTTCTTTTAAAATTGAAAATGATTTTTTAATCTACTAAATGCTTGTTTTATTACATTTTATTACATTTTATATTAAACAAAACTTATTAACTAGTAGGTGTTTTAAATGAGAGAATATATCTTTTAAAAATAGAATAAGTAGAATCAGTAAGAACTTAATCTTAATTTTTAAATAAAATATGTTATTAAGTATATAAAGATAAATTAGAAAAACTTTAGCATCATGTACAGATATTGACCATCCAATATCATAATTGATAATTTTCTTAAATGAATTATAATACTTTGTATATAAATAGTATAGTAATATTTTCTATTAATATATACATCTTTATTTAATTTGCTAGTACTTTATATAAATTTATATAAGTTCTGTTAATAACATTAATTATATTAGAAAATCTTGCATTTATACAAATTTATGAATAATTTGTTTTTTATATTCTTTATATGGCTAAATAATATATTAAATACGTATGATTAAATAATAATTCATATATATTAGCAACTGATTTTATAGAAATGCCAAATTTTGATGTAATATTCTAAATAATAAACTTTTTACCTAATAGAAATAAGATCATAAAAGCTATAATTCAATTGATTTTTATTGATTACTAAAAATTGGATAATCTTTTATTATATTTACAATTATTTAGAATATTTATTTAATCATTTATAAAGTTATATAAAAATTTTCTTTATTATATTCAAAAAGAATATATTTATACCAAGAATTAGATTTCAGTATATATAATAATAGATGATTTATTATGTAAGTATTATTGAAAAATAATATTTGTAATAATTATTTTATCTTCACTAGATAATTCTATATAATTATCTAAACTATTAAAATCACTTTTATTACTTGATTTTATAATATTTGAAGTTGAAATTAATAATTAATAGTAGTAAAATTATAATAGATGAGAAAATATAAAAAACAAAAAATTGGTTAATTTTTTTATTAACAACTCAATAAAAAAAATTTTAAATACCAATTATTATTAATGTATGTTATAATTATTAAAATTTTATCATAATTAATAATAATAAAATTTAAAAAAATCGCTAAAAAACTTTTAAATTTTAATATTATTAGCTACAGAGGGTTTTCAAAAGTTTACGCACACTTTTTTCGTACAAATTTTCTCAAAATTTTATTAAGCAATTAAGAAATTTACAAATAATAAATAATGTTCCTAGACTATTAAAAATATAAATTTTATTAAGAATTTAATACTTGGTCAGACCACTATTTGCATTAATTACTGCCTGAATTTGTCGAGGCATACTTTTGACTAAATTTTTAATTTTTTTAAAAGTAATTAATTTTTTAGCCTTTCGTATTTGTTATTCAAGTGAGGAAAGGTTAATGGACTTTACATTTTGGCTTCAAAGGTTTTTTTTTAATTTCATCTCATAAATTTTTGATTGAGTTAAGGTTGGGGCTTTGGGCAGGCCATTTGTCACAAATTATGAGTGCATAAAACAAATCGTGTAGAGTTTACAATTTTTGCGAAGTTTGCGATGTTTATTATATTGCGATAGTAGTAATATATTTAGATAAAAATAGTGGTCTGATCAAATAATAAACAGCTTAGTACAAAATTTAATTTACTATTTTAGAAATAATATTTAATTATTTGTAGATCATTTGCTTAATAAAATATGATTAAAATTCATACAAAAAAAGTGTGCGTAAACTTTTGGAGACCTTCTGTACATTAGTTACTAATTTTGAATTTATCCAATTATACAATATATTTTTTAGACTACTTTTTAAATTTATACTAATTTTTAAGGTAAAATAATATATAAAATAACATAAACTAATTTACTATATAAGATTTAAAGTAAATTAAAAATAATTATAAATACATTAAATCAAAGTAATCTTAATTAAAATAGTAATAAATATTAATTTAATTTAAATTATTTAAAGAAAATTTGTTTAATTATTTACATTTACTAAAAAAGAAAAACAATAGTTTAAAATAATAATACAGTTAACTCTTGATATAGCAAACTCTTGATATAACAAATTTTTTGAATAAATATAATAAAAATACTTTTACTATAGTGAATTAGCTAATCAAATCTCTTGAAATCTTACTATAGCCTTATAGTAAAGTTGAGGTCTAGGACATAAAATTCGTTATAACAAAAGTTGATTGTATATGTAAAATTATTGCTTTTTTTTTAAAAATATAACAAATTTAAATAAAATTATCTTTATAAATAATTTAATTTTAAACTTTTATTTTCTTCTTAATTTCTCAATTAATAAACTGAAAAGGATTGATTTCTAGTATACTTAATGATGATTTATTATTATCAAGTCAATCTTCTAATACATCTTTTTATAAAAAAAAAAAATAGATTGCTAGTTTAATTAGTGAAGTAAATATCTCAACTTTTAGATCATTAACCTCTTATAAAATTAAAGTTAGATATCAAGATTTATAAAGTTCTATTTTAAATATATTTTATCAATTTAAAAACAAGAAAAATGTAAGAATTATTAATATCAATTTCAGCTAGACAAATCATAATATTATCTTTCTGATCCTTATTAAATAACTTCCTAAATTCTAATATATTATAAGTTACTATGTAATATTTAACTATCAAATCAAACATTTTACTTAAAATAATATATTATTAGATGATATTTTAAAGAATTCATCAAGATAAAACTTATACTTATATAAAGAATAATAAAAGAAAAAATAAATTTTATTTTAAAAAAAATTAAATTAATTTTTTTAATTTTACTAGGAAATTTTACAAAAGTAAGAAATTAAAAGAGAAGAAGATATAAGAAAAATATCTAAAGATATATGTATAATAAATTATTTAAATAAGTTAAAATATTTAAAAAATAATTTTATTATAATAATAATTTGAATATTAAAGAATATTTAATTATAGTAAAAAAAAAATTGAATTAAAAAATATAGATTTGATTTTTATAAACTATGATTTATTAAATTAAAGATATGTATTAAGGTTAATATAATATTAAGAAATTATCATTATATAGATAATGATGATAAAACTTTATTAAATTTAAAAGAATAGATGCAGTTTAATCATATTAGACTCATTAAAAATAATCCATTTCATACTCCTTTAATTTAAAGGGATTTATTCATACCTTTCAGATAATTTTAAAAATCTGCTACGCCACATCCGAATTTAATCGGGGTGATGTTCCATAAATGGAAAGTAATATTAATCTGATTATCATTTGAAATCATACTCAATCGCCAATATATTTAAGTGTAAGTAATATTTGAACCTTTACTCTTTTTTATTCGAAATGACAACTTCAGATCCATACCTAGAAAAAGATATCTCTATAAAGGCTACCGATTTATCTCAATGGAGACTTAAAGTTGACCATGGAAGACAAACGTGGCATTATCTGGAAAGCGATGAAGCAAAAAATTTGCCTCAGTCTATAATTGAAAAATATTGGTTAGGCATACCTTTTGTAAGCTTCTTTTTTATAAAAATTTCTTTAGTTTGTTAATTTGAAAAGTTCTCCTAGTCTAGATGATAATTGAAGAGCAAAACAGTCTGGCAGGGCTTTTAACTAGTTTTTTTTTTGTTTTGTAATGGGACTATTGAGTACTGTCAACTCACTATAAATACACGTACTATATATACCCTCATGAATCCATTTCCCCTCCTCTCTACAAATGCAATCTCTCCTAAATGCACGATTTTGAAAATCATGTATTCGGTCCTAGAGGTGTTTTTATAGAGTCGTATAGAATAGTCTAACGAAGGGTAAAACAGGGCTCGCACGTATGTGTAATGCACCCTCAAGGACTCAAGAAAGGACGGAGATATAAAGGCTTAACGGACCAATTGGTCAAAAATTCTGTCTGTCTTAAATGAAGGCGGTTCGAGCGCCCATGAATAAGCCAAATCTTCGGGCGCCGATCCCTGCAGAAATTTCGAAATTCGAAAGAATCGGAATCTCTGCAGGGATCGATCTTGACAAGTTAAACTCGTGAATTATACAAACCATAGAAAGGTCCAAGGCTGTAGCCCTGCTATCATCATACATTATTAACGATCTTAAGCATCAATATAATTTATTTTTAAATACAATTGTTTAGGAATCAAAAAAATTCGACAAACCAAAAACTGCATTAGAGGCAGCACGAAATGGATTTGAATTTTTTAAGCTACTCCAGACGGAAGACGGTCATTGGGCCGGTAATTACGGCGGCCCTATGTTCTTATTACCCGGACTTATAATTTCAATGTACATTACGCGTATCACTATTCCTGAAAGTTGGCGAATTGAAATTATCCGATATCTATTCAATAAAGCTAATCCAGTTGATGGTGGATGGGGAATGTATGTTATTTATTATTTCAATTACACCTCTTTGCTTAAAAAGGGAAAAAATGCTGACCGAATTAACGAAAAATTTAAGACATGTTGAAGGTCATTCAACAGTGTTTGGAACAACCTTGAATTACATTGTCCTTCGTATCCTTGGAATAGATGCTGACCATCCATACATGGTCAAAGCTCGTGCGACTTTGCATAAACTCGGTAATCTTAGTTATCAATCTTTTTTTTTTTACAAAAAAAAAAATACACATTATTTATCGTTATAATTTATAGGAAGTGCAACTGCGATACCCTCATGGGGTAAATTTTGGTTGTCGTGTCTAAATGTCTATAACTGGGAAGGGATGAATCCTGTTCCACCTGAATTATGGTGAAATTTTTATACCAATGACTGACCTTTTTTCCTTCGAATAACATCATTAATAACACAACATTTGTTTCATTAATAAAGGTTACTTCCATATGCA